CAGCCCCCAGGGTCCTTGACCTTCAACACCACTCAGAAGGTCCTGCAGCACCTGGTGAGCACAGTGCCTGTCCCACTCTTGTCCTGGCCCACTGGAGCCAGCCTGCCTGTGTCCCACCCCTGATGGACCTGTATCCTCCAGGATCCCCACACCCACCAAAGGTGCCATTGCCCACCTCTCAGCTGACCCACTCCCCCCTCTCTCTCCTCCACAGCTTGGATCCTTGTTCAAGAACACCAGTGTGGGTCCCCTGTACTCTGGCTGCACACTGACTTTGCTCAGGTGAGACGTAGGGTCACTGGTGCTCCCAGGCCCAAGCAGTGTGGGTGCTTCCTTCCTGCCCCCGTCCTTCCTGTCCTCCTCAGAGATGGTCTCAGGAGGCAACAGCTCCAGCCACCAAGGCCAACCTTTACCCTTCCACTTCCCCTCCTGACCTGTGTCAAACTCTGTCCATCAGCATCACTGACCCTCATCCCCTCCCTCCTTTCTTCGTGTTTCAAGAAGGGCATTTCCTTTAGATGATGGATTCTCTTACCAGGATGTATCTTGTGACAGACACACTTCCTAAGTTTGTTGCAATCACAACTCCAGTTCTCCACCTGTCACACCTGGGACCCACCTCTCCCTAAGCCATGAGGTTGCACTTTCATTCTCCAACTTCAAGAACATTTTCCTGTCAGCCGTCTAATCTCTCTCACGGGGAGGCTGTCCAGAAGTCAGTGCACAGATGACCAGGCTGGCTTCTTCTCCTCATTTTCTCTGTCACTTTTCTGTCCTACTCAGAGGTATCTCTGGACCTTCCTCTGAAAATGCACTCATCTCCCCTCTCTCCCCAGGTCTGAGAAGGATGGGGCAGCCACCAGGGTGGACGCTGTATGCACCTACCATCCTGACCCCGTGGGCCCCAAGGTGGACAGAGAGAAGCTGTTCTGGGAGCTGAGCCCACTGACCCACGGCATCACCCAGCTGGGCCCCTATGCCCTGGACCAGAACAGTCTATATGTCAATGGTGAGCAGGGGCCACCCGTGCTGTGTTCTAGGGTAGAGCCCACGTCCTCCACGTCTGGGCGGGCTTCGTCCTTACCACTCACACCTTCATATTCATTCTCCCCGCACCTCTCTCCCCCTCTCCTGCTGCAGGTTACACCCACCAGGCCACAGCAACTACTCCCACTGGTGAGTCCACAGTGACCCTGTCATGG